GCAGATGGTAAGAAGATGACAATACAAAACTTTCACAGGCCACATAGTAATAGAACTTAACCCTATCGTATGTAGCTTCTCAGCATTCAGCCAGCTTTCTTTAAAGGAAGGGAACAGGCTGTTGCCCAATTAATTTCAATTTTAGCTTCAGCGCCCAATATCCACTAATTCTGAAAACATACATTTACTTAAACGACAACAGAAAATCTCTTTTCTGCTAAATCTAGATTTAGAAAAACCTCTTAAAACACAAAGCCATGGAGCACATCCCAGCAGTTCCAGGAGGACTACCGGTAACACTACAGGGGGAAAGGAATTACTCCCCTAAAACCTGCAATTAGACTGTAGAGCACCCCTTTGAGCTTTAAACCGCAAGTGGAAAGGGTAAGGAAAACCCTCACAAGTTCCAGTTCTTCATAGGCTTGAAGTTATGCCTACAAAATGCTGCAGATTGCTGGTCATGTTAAATGGTGGCCCCAGGAACACGAGGACTTGTTATGCTTTAAAATCTCTACCTTTGGTGCAGACAACCTGTGAAATAGGAGGCTGACAGGTCACTTTGCAGGGAAGTCTTAAAAGAATTTGCCTAAAGCCACAGGTCCCAAGGTACCCTGTGTGTTTATGGATAGCAAGGTCTGTATCTCCTGACTCACAACCTCACGATTTAGTTGGCATTTCCTATCCCATCCATGATTTTTTTTTCCTATTTGTTCATAGCTATTTCTTTTGTTTTGCATTTTGTAAGTGGTTTTGAGAATTTTTCCTTCTCCCTGTTCATTACATCTTGTGGGGTTTTTTTCCCCCTTTTTTTTTCCTCTTTCATTTATCTTCTCTGATCTTGGCTGTATTACTCACTTTACGATGGTGTTACTTTTTCTGCAGTGTGTCTGACAAATACCTCTTCTTCATTCTTCGATGCCTCTTTGCTCTCCCCAGAGGTGCCCCAAGGCCTGAAATTCAGTAGAAGACTGCTACTGGATGGCAGTGGAGAAAGGGAGACACTGAGGTCAGGCCAAGCATGTCACACGGGAGGTTGGTCACTTCAGAGCAAGCATCCACAAGCAGATGTGGAAGCAGGAGAGGGAGAGGGCAAGCATTTCATGTCCTGGCCACAGGCTGAGGAACGAGACTAGGCATGTGGAAGCCCATTTCTTCCTGCTGGCTTCACCACAAAGCCCTCTCCTTTTACTCACAGTTCGCCCAAAGCTTATAGAAAGAAAAACAACAGAATTTTTGCAGCGGCACTTAAATGCAACAAATAACTGAGTGGAGATTTAAATAGTATGCCAAACAGTCGCAAACATGTGTACTCCATGTACTTACAATGACTTTTCCACCAGCTCAATTTCCACATTTTGATCAAGCAACTTACCGGTTTTGGGACTCTGTTCTCCTTAAATCTCATTTCACAGAAGAAACATGCCAGAATTTGCCTATCCAGTAGGCAAAGAGCTACATTTTGGAGGAAAACTTGTTCTGTGACTGCAAACATTCACGTTTTATATGCCTGCTAACTCCATCTATCTAGATCACAAGCTTTAGAATCACATCTTCTTTTGCACCATCTTCACACTGAATGAATAAAACCAAGACAGGCAAATTTAGGTCAAGGTGAGTTTATTGTCCATACAGCATACCTAATCCCGCCAAAACACTTTTCTTAGAACCATCTTTAAACTAGTCAAAACAACAGGTTATTAATAAAAATGACAACACTGAACAAAGAACACCTTTTAAAAGGTAATCAAGACTACACTGTATCAGAGTCTTATCCGTCGAAAACAACCTCGCGTACTTTCTAAATACTTTTGTTTACACTGATCATGTCTACTACCGCACTTTCTAGCATCCCCTGACCATATAAACATCCACACCTCTTAAAGAGCACATTGTGAGAGAATAACGTTGACTTGATATGGCATCACACTCGATAAAGCAAAAAAAAAAAAAAAAAAAAAGTTTGAGAACAGAAACTGTGCAACCGAGAGTGATTTCTGAGGTACATGAGAACATGGTAATAAACATAGTGGAAAAAATCCAGTGGCCAGGTGGTTTGCTCAGTAATTAAGAGCCATCCGATTATTCAAGCATAAATCATCAACACTGAAACGGGATTAATAGTATCCTTCTCTTTCATAAGCATGTCGGGAATATAAATAAACTGATTATGAGGTGCTCCTACACTACAGTAATGGGAGGGAGGGGAAGATCTTCAAAGTACCATCAATACGAAGCTGAGAGAGAAATGCTTTTAGCAATTGTGCCGATCCTTTGGCTCTTGTGAAGGTATAATCAGCAACGCATCTTTTTAACTAATCCATAGGAAGGTTTATGATTTCTGCAATTCGGGGAAAAAAATCTCACACCTCATTTGCAATAATAGCATTCATTTTTTTAACACCTGTTAAAAAGGAGTACTATGCAGTATTTTTATTTTAAATGCTACTGTGAAAATGCTCAAGTTGTAGGTTTTCCGGACTTGAAACGCAGTACGCTTCTGGGTGTAACCAGATGGTTAGTATTTTCTGAGTACATCACTTCAGCCGAGGACACTCTTACTTCCGGCGGTGACCCATGCAGACCCACCAGGTACGGGGTCTGCCGAACGGCACTGCTCCTTCCAGCACAGCTCGCCCCTCCGAGTGCCACGCGAGGAGCTGACCTCGGTGGCGGACACCACCCCCCTTCCTTGCCAGCGCTGCGGAGCCCTGGGGGAACGATACTGCAGGAGGGGATCCCCACATGTGACCGGGGCACCACAGGAGGTGGGTTAAAGAGCAGGGGCAGGCACCCTAACTACTACTCCTGCCTACACTCAACCTATGGCATGGAGGGGAGCAAACCACACCAACGTGATGGACACGGTGCCTATGTGTGCTGCAGGCAGCCACGCTGAAGCCCAGCATGCAGAGAGGTCATCCCACTGTCTGGGGACCCTCTGGAACGCCTCCCCATGAAGCCACGTTTGCTAACGTTGGAGGGCTGTCAGGGAATGATCTGATCTGTCAGATACTGGTTGCACGCATCTCCGGAGTCTTGCTTCCACAAAATTAACTATTTTTTTCCTCCAGGAGAGACACCGTCGCTGAACATTGGTGCTCCTCATGTGGAACATCAAGGCAGGAGGTGACGGGGGTGAGAACAAGGCTGTCCCCGCCACCGTTTCTGGGAAACATGGACCTGCTCCGGCAAAGCTGCCGGCAGAGAATCAATGCATTTTTTCCACTATGAAAAGGATACTGAAGACCGAAAGGGAGCCAGCGCCCCGGCTGCCTGACACCTCTCCCCGGCACAGCCGGAGCGCAGGCCCCCAGGGAAAAAACAAACTGTCACGTTGTGAGGTATTGTGAAAATGGGAACCATTTCTGTTTTGTCCAGTAAACCTGAGGTAAGTATACCGTCTTTGCAGGATGTGATCAGGAAGGAAGGAGGAAAAAAAAAAAAAAGAAGGAAAAAATAAAATTAAAAAAAGAATCATGAACACGCTATTAGGAAAAAAAAAAAACTGTACAGGGCATTTCCAGTAAATCAAAGAACTCATCATATCTCCACTTAACCATCTACTTCAGGATTTGAAATTTAAGCAGTAAAATAATATATTATAAAAATGTTTATAAAATAGCAGCACACTCAGTGAAACAATACAGCTAAGTACTGTTAATGTGAATAAGAATGAAACAAATCATAGCTTCTTAGCAGCGCAAAAAAAAAAAAAAACCAAAACCAAAAAACCCCCCAAAACCAAAAAAACCCAACAAAACCTTAGAATCTTACTCCATTTTCTACCCTCATCTAGCCAAATACGGCTGAGTCCATTCATATAATATTCTTCGAAGTAGCATGTTCTTTCTGGATTTTTATCTTAAAAATGCAGACATTAACATTTCAATCAACAGCTTCATACTGTATATTTGCAAACTGTTAATACAATTGTGCAAAAAAAAAAAAAAAAGTTGCTCCAACTCCTTTGCCATCTAAATGCCTCTTCGTTACAGATGGAGCAGAAAAATAAATTCAAGTACACTGAATACACCTTTGTAATAAAACTCCAAGTCACACACCTTGATGTTTACCACTTGTGCCTTTTGCACCAGCAATTTTCTTTCGTTGTCCATAGATAAGCATGCAGGTGGTATTAAGATCCTTCTGTGACACTGAACAATACAAATTGTCAGGCTTTTATCCGGAATGTCATGACAGGAATGTCATCTGAAGCAGGTGTTGGTATTTCCAGCAACACCGCAACTAGACAAGTACACCAGATACTGGAAAATAATGACTATAAAAAGCTATATGTTTTGCTTTTGTGACTTTTTCTTTCTTTTTTTTTTTTTTTTTTTTTTTTTTTTTTTTTTTGCTCGGCAAAATCATCATAAACCATTTCATTTAATCCCTTAGGAACAATTTTCAAAGTGCTTTTCGAATGAAATGGTTTACAAAAACGCTCACTGTGGATCAATAAAGTTAATGAAATGCTGAAAAAGTGTGCGGGGGCGTTGGGGGAAGATGGGTAGGTAGAAGAGGGATCAAACCAAATCTCATCTTCTTTAACACAGTGAGGGTATGTTCAAAAGGAAGATGGACAGAGCATCATTTAAATGTCTTTATGGCCAAGCTAAGGAGCTGCCAAAGTTAACATTCATGTGAAGCATTAGCACTGTAAAGGACCATAATGCTTTTCACAGATGATCCACCGCATCTTGTAATCCAAAGGTCGGAGTCGGTCTGATTAGCCAACTGGTCAGAATTAATTGGTGCATTTCCCCCATCTAACGTGAACACTTGATAACTTTGGCTTGGCCCACAGCTGGGTAAACGGAATTGCCCTTATGCCAAAGATGCTGCTGTGTTTAGAATGAATTATTTCTGAAGGAAAAGTAGAAAAAGTCAAGAGGGGAGAGGGGAATTTGGAAAAAAAAAGAAAAACAAACAAACAAACAAAAACCAAACAAAAAAACCACCTGCTCTTCCGGCTGGCAAAATAAAGCATCTTCTTTCTTAGGTAGCAGCTACCACAGACAGCAAGAGTAAACAAAACTAACATACAGAGATCCAACAAACACTTCTGACTAATAACAGAGGTGACAGATCAGCAAATCTCTTCTGCATTCAAAATGGTTCAATTGCTTCAGGGATCTTTTCCCACTTTGCCCTAAACCCCTTATTCTATTGCTTTGCAATCTAGTCAAGCCATAAAATCGCACACACGATTCCTTTCTTAAATCTTAAAAAAGGGGTGTATGCACTAGGTCATAATACACAGACAAGTATACTCTACGTTGTTCCCACAAATGCAGGCTTACATTTATCTACCTACTTTGTATGCTTTTATAAGCATTTAATATCACCGATACATAATCAAATAGCAATTACCAAATATATTGTGGGATTCCCTTCTGTAGAACATCACAGGCACCAATGTTGGGTTTTTTTTTCATTATTCAGGTTTTTTTTTTGTTTTTTTTTTTTGTTTTTTTACCTAAAAGAGCTTTAAATACGTTCTATGTGGGAGCAGATTAAAAAAAAAAATCACTCTAAAAATAATAACAAAAATAAAAGGGCTGGGGGAGCAAGCGTGACTTTCTGTGCCGATGTCCTCACAGGTTGATATCTCTCACATCTGTGGGAGTGCTGGCCTGGTCCAGTTCATCCACCGTCTTAGAAGGATTGCTTTGCTGTTGCTGCTGCCGGACTTGCCTAAGGCTGTTTACTAGCACCGCCTCGATCTGTTCTTGACAAGCTTTAAGGCAGTCCTAGAGGACAGAAAGCAAATTGATCTGTTAGCGGAGACAAGATTGTTTGGGTTTTTTTCCTTACTGAGCCAGAAGAAGTTGGAAGAGCATCAATCTGGTATTCCTGAGGAGTGTCCGCTGTGACAGAAAAGGGCCTTGAATTCTCACAGGTTACCACTGTGTACAAACTCCCTGGGTTAAACACTGCTAATGCCATATTTATTAGACTTCCCAAATCTTAGTATTTTACTTGTTCTTCCTCATTTGTGTGTGCTTCTGCAGCAGGAACCCAAAGTTTTGCAAAAAACGAAGGGCAGGATATGTGAATTTTTGCATTCTCCTATGCAGGATTAAGTGACTTGGGTGGGTCTTCACTACAAAAAAGCTACCTTTTTCTCCTGAAATAACCAACACGTGCTGCACCAAAGTCACAGACCGAGGCACTTCAGTTTTACCTTCAAGCAAATTGATGGTAAATCAAAGTGAAGGAGAAATCTTGAGCTCCCTGAAAAAGTGTAGTGCTCTGTCTCTGCGTTTTTATCAAGTCATACATTTGGGTCCCCAAGGCAAAGGCAAAAAAAGTGTCTGTTTATCTGTGAAAATACACGCAAGGGGAATGAGTGATGCAGCGCCAAACACGCAGTCATGTTATCATTCTCTTGAGTGCACTCCAGAGAAGAAAAGTGATTTCGGCAGCTGAGGAGAAGGAAGAGGAGGTGTAGGGTACGCTCCCGCAACTTCACTCTGAGAGCAGGACTATTTTAACAGCCCCAGGAATAGTTATTGGCAATAATTCACAGAAGACATTAAAGTAAAGACACATACTAGAAAAAGATGTAAGTCAAAACCACACAACCAAGCCTCAGAGACCACTACATTACAAATAGTACTATGTAACACTTGGAGAAAGAGCAGCATATGGTACAGCAACACAAATTTGGGAGCCCTGTACATTAGGAGTACCCCAATGAACATGAAGTATAATAAATAAATAAATGCAAAGGATTCACCATGCTCAAACCAGACATAGCAACAAAGAAGACATCTTAAAATATTACAGGATGTTCCACATTCTTGATAATACACTGGAAGACTAAATAATATGGATATTTTTTAAAAAAAAAGGTAAGAAAACATTGACAAACACTTGATTGTAGCAGAAACTGAAAAATAAAACCCAAGCCCTGACTGTATAAACACAATGCTAATTACGTGCAGTGCGCTGGGACTGTGAGTATCAATACGACACTGTGTAGGTGGGCAGGTGGTGCTACGATAAATGGGTTTTTCCAAAAGCAGCCCTGTGGACTCCTACAATGTGGGAAAAGGTACTGATACTGTAAACTCACTGAAGCCTCGGTCTGCGTAAGAGCTGGGTCTCTCCCAGCAGCAGAGAAATGCAGTTTTTGGTAGCAGGAGTTTTACAGCAGAGTATTTTAACCAGAGCCCTGGTAGCATCTGGCAGCGACAGCGAGACCTGGTATCACCATTCCCACTTTCAGGCAGAGGAGCTGAAGAACAGAGCTGGCCACTGACCTCCACGGGGTCCCACAGGCACTTAGGTCAGCCTGGGAACCCAGTATGGGACGTGACTGCAACACCAGGGAGCTGGGCTCTGACCAGCAACACCCACTTTCTCCATGCAATACCAGGTTATTCAGGAGAGTTTGAAATATTCATGTATGGAGGTTTAATTTGTCAGCCTAGCCAGACTGGGAAAACACGTCAAATGCAGAGTATCTGTTCCGCTGATGACATTTATGTTCGTGATGCACGCAATTAGCTCTGGTGGGTCACGGAACACCCGTTTTTCTGGGCTACCAGCCAGCAGCTGCTAGCTGAAAAATCCTGTCCTCTCCTTGTCATAAAACTGCCCCGTTTAATGTAACGAAGCATCACAACCTTTCTCTGAGAGCGCATCTGCCAGAGAGAGGCTGTGAGGGATAGCTTTTCAAACTGACCCAGGAAAGAGGGGCTGAATGAGATGTTTGGCTGCATTAGAGACAAAAATACCCACAGCGATATGGATCACACCAGCTAAAGCCAGAGTGAGATGTCATCTAAATCTCCTGAGTGTCTGGGCTACCTGTCTGCAATGTGACGCAGGAGTTTGTTCCCTCAGCGTGGTAACACCACGGTGAAACAGAGCCCGGGGCACGGCGACACAAAAAAACCTCTGCTGCAACGTTGTGTGCGTGCAGCGAGCAGACCGAGCCTTCCCTGTGCTCACCTTTTGTCCTGAGAGCCGGGGACTGTGGGACTGCCCCTAAAAAAGGAGCTGTGTTCAAGTTAAGTGGCTTGCAGCCGTACGGTACCTACCCCAAGGCAGCTCCACTGTCAGCAATGCTTCCCACTGCTAGCAACTTTCCCAAGTCTCAGTCACTGGAGCTAAACTTTCCCACACACTGCCCTCTGCCTCAGGCTGGCTTTTTTATGGAAGAGGAAAAACCACAACAAAAACTTGCTGCTATGTCCAAGGAAAGGGTTAAGGAAAGCAGATGATTTTAACAACATCAGCCAGCTCTTAACCAAGATTTCCAATTGTTGGGGTTTTTTTGAGAAGATTAAGCATAATTAGAATTTGGCATGGCACGTGGGCGTGGGGGTCAGATACCTTTTGATATCCTCAAGAAATGCAGCCCAAGGTTAGCAAAGATACATGGCTCAAAAAACTGCATACCGAATTCATTCAGAGCCCTTATGGTTAAGGAGGTCTGTGCTTTGGAGGAAGGTAACCGCCATCTCTATTTGCATCTAAGCCTAGCTGAGCAGAGGAGGGTCCTAGCAGGGGTGCCTGGGAGTTCCCTGCTAGCCCAGGCACCCACATTTCCCTCCTCTGGAAACCAGGTTATAGGAAAAATGGTATGTATGTGCCATACTGCTGGTGCAGAGTCAGAATACAAACGGAGCACGATGACAAAGGAAGCTGGGACACAAAGGGTTTGTTTAAGACGCCCTGGGGAGCACTGAACACTGAATTCAGGTGACTGGCTCTAGGGTCCTCGCCTCACGGAACACCGCATGCTGCTCCTAAGCTCCAGCAGGCACCAGTGTAGCCCACAGTACAGAAAAGGGAGTGTTGCAATCTGCTCTGGGTCACACCAGTCCTTGCCTGTACACTGGAACGAGCCCTGCGTCAGATGTATTGCAGAGATCACCCCGAGCTCTTTGTAGCTGCCTCTGGCTTGTGCCCTGAATTCTGTCACTCCTGTAACTCATGCAGGAATGATGACCTTGGAAGATCAAAGGTATCTCATGGGCACCACTACTGCATTGCCACAGCCAGTGCATAATCACAACCATTTGCAACCAGTGAATAACCTTGGGGCTCAAAACGACGGACCACCTGAAATGTCAAGTCAACCCAGTGGGATGCAGATATTATTGATGTACTAAGGATACAACCACTCAAGAGAAACAGCAGGAAGGCTGTGCTGGAAAACACCAGTCTCGGTGTGCCTGGTCCCTGCTTCCTCTGCCCTGAGATAGCACACCAGCTCCCCCCAGTGCCCAAGCCGTGGCCCTGGGTAGACCCATGCTGGGCTGCAACCCCATCTCTCTCCCCACACCGGCACCTGATGCCTTTCCCAGAGACCCACGCTGCAGAACTCCTCTTGGAGCAACCATGCCAGCAGGAGGTTAACAAAAAAAGCACAGTTACCAAACATGCGGTTCATGCATTGGCTTCATTACAGCCAGGGTTCGATGGATGAGGGTACACCAAAACCCAGGCCTCCTAGAGCTGCCTGGCAGGCAGAGCACTGGGCAGCAGCCCATCCCCACTTGCACTCCCATCAGATGGGGGCTGCGGTCTGCTGGACTCCTGCTCCTGGAGAGAAGGGAAGCTTTAGTATTGAACTTACTTGGAGCAGAGCAGTAAGGCTCGGAAGTCAGAAACCGAGGCAAATGCCTTTGAAGATGCAATAAAATGTCAGCACAGTGGATTTTCTGGTATGAGATCCAGGACAAATAAGCAAAATTTAACCTTCCTCACACCTCACAAAGTTCTTCCTTTCCTTCTAGCAAAAGGTAAGGAGAAGAGCTTCTCTGTCTGTTGCCACTTTCCTGCTGCTGCTGGCAAGGCCAATTTTTTTAAGGTAAGAATCTGTACTTTTGTTTAACCAAGTAATTTATATTTTTTTTTTTAATGGCTGGGGTTTTTTCTTGTATTATTGGGGGCTTAAGTGATTTCATAATACTGGAATTGCTTGTTTAACGATACGAGCTAAACAAATTGCTCATCCTTTCTTCCAAAGTGCCTGTTTGGCAAAAGCTACCAGAAACTTAGATAAAGAAAATCCCGTTACTAGCTTGGGCAGGTTTTAGGTCCATTGTAGGCATTCACCTGCTTGTGAGAGGGCAATGGCACCAAGTCACTTCAAGGCTCAAAGCATTTTCAAATTGAAGAAAGAGCAGGGGCACCAGTTTGTAGGCTCCTATAACAGACTACATTCATAATACATTTTTTTTTTGGTGTAAGAATCTTTTCTTTTAAAGCACAGTAATGCACAATTTCAAAATAATATGTCCTTCTGAAAGTAAGCCAGACTTTTTACAAGCAGCTTCAGACTGGAGAGCTTAATGAGGCAATTTCCTTGCAGCCAGGCTTGGGGAAGGAAGGGTGGTGACACGCAGAACATAAGGCTTGAGCATTAGGAGCCAACTTTGCCTGTTTCTGAACACCCTTATATATGGCAATTTACACCATTATTATACAAACTTCTGATGGTAAATACGATTCCTCATTTAATGTATGAAGAGGCTAAAATCTCTAGATAATCCTATAGAGAAATGGATAATTTCTGATGTCTTCATTTTGTGCATAAAACCAATGAGGGTCCCAGACTCGAACTGTCACAGTTTGCATGGATTTTATTTCATACAGGGATCCACAGGCCACTGATGTATTTTTTCTGTCATGTGTTAGCTCTGGTCTACACTTAGGTTTTGAACATAAAAAATAATGTACCACTGAATTCTTTAAAACAACACTATGGTAGAATGACCAGCATGTTGCATTC